CTTTATTTTAGGTTATTTGCTGTATCAGTTATTGTGAATTTATCCTCAGCTGTTTTTATGCTTATTGTTGGTATCTCAGCTGTCATATTTGCTAATGTCATTCATAATTTCATATAATTTTGAGCTTTAGTTTTATCTGTAAAATGGGATGATAATTTCTGTTCTATTCTTATGAAGAATAAAATTATAAAAGGATCATATGAGAAATGATAAGGTGCTTAAAGACAGTGTTATAATTACTATAATTAATATTTTTTCACTGTATAAATAATGCTGGTTCCAATTCTAGCTATACAGTTTTAGTTTATAATGTGGCTATTTCTGACAGTTGATCCATTTTTAACTTTTATTTCAGTGTAATTTCTTTTTTTTTTAATCTTATAAACTCATACATTGTTAGGTAGGCACTGTTTTAAAATAGCACTTTTTGCATACGTGCAGGTAAGACCATAAATATCTCTTGCAAACATTTTGGCTATATTTCAAATGTTATTCTGGTCTGTATTGGCTTTTTATAATATTATTCAAAATATAGGGGCCAATCCCAGTTTATTAATTAAAGAAAAGTACAGTCATCAATTTGTTTGGAACCAATTTTGAAGACTTTTCGGTGCTTTTCAAAACTTTAGTGATTTGAGATAGTGTTTTGAATTGAGTACCCCTTTTCCTTGCAACTCCCTGATTTATATTCAAAACAGGGAATTGAGGAAGGAAGTAACTGGAGTACTGATACATGATATAAATGATTTATAGCTGGAAGTTTTTAAAAAACAAATACATATAAAGAAATCAGAATATAAATGGATAGGAGGAGTATGAAGATGTAGCCATTCTGGTACATACAAAGCACTATTTTTTTTTCCATAGTAGGTGGAGTCTATTGAAGAAAATCTGATTATCATGAATGCGTAACTTACACAAACAAAAAGATCTTTAGATTTTTATTCATTCATTCAACAGATATTTACTGAATATCTGTGTGCAAGACACCAATGAGTAAGACGCAATTCCTGCCTTCAAGTAGCTTAAAGAAATAAAACAAGTAGTTTTTTTTTTCAAGTAGAAATAGTAAGTCTTCCCTCCATTATAGTTATTTGGAATAATTGCCATAAACAAAATAGTATGGTAATTTAGAGTAGGGGAAGGTAATTTCCAACTGGAGGAATGTAGACTATTACAATAAACTCTGGCTGTTGGTAAGACTTTTTACCAACAGAGAGCTTCTACAGTAGGAAGAATAGAGTTCAAGGTTTTTTTTAAGTGCTTGATGTTATATAACTAACATGTCATTTTTATAACTTAAAAAATCTTTTTAGCCCTAACCGGTTTGGCTCAGGGGACAGAGCGTCAGCCTGCAGACTGAAGGGTCCTGGGTTCGATTCTGGTCAAGGGCATGTACCTTGGTTGCGGGCACATCCCCAGTAGGGGGTGTGCAGGAGGCAGCTGATCGATGTTTCTCTCTCATCGATGTTTCTAACTCTCTATCCCTCTCCCTTCCTCTCTGTGAAAAATCAATAAAATATATTTTTTAAAAAAATCTTTTAAAAATGTTTTATTTAATTTTTAACAACTGCTTTTCTGTTCTCTTGTGTATAGACTTCTTCATAAACACTTTCTAGTTTAAGGAAGTGTTGTGTAACCAGTGAAATCATTTGAATTCTCATTTTGAGCCTAGCATTTTTGTTCACACTCCTCCCCCTAAAGTTAGCCACTTACCCTTAATGATGTCATTCTATGTCAACTTCCCACCAAGACAACCTTTAAGTAGTGGGCAGGGATTTATTTGACCTTTAGTTCAACCACATAAATGATTTAAGATATCACTTTAAAAATTTTTAAAAATCTTTTGAGTATTTTGAATTATTGTAAGAAAAATGTATTGCACTTTAAATATTCCTGCAAGGATATATAAGCATGTGAGATATTTGAAACTGAAATGTGGATGTGAATTACTTTAAATATACAAAAATATATAAGGATATGAAATTATGAAATATCTGCATGCCTACTTTTTTCCCTGTAAAATTGAAATAAGTGTTATGAACTTGATTAGGTTAAATTCATTTTTTTTTCTGGCTCTTTGTCTTTTGAATAAACAAATAGGTAGTAGAGTCAAACGCAGGAAGCCTGGTCCAAACAGAATAAAATTAATGGTGACAGTAATTCTTTACTCAGTAACCCAAAGTAGAAACTATGGAGCCATCAATGATTCTTTTTCATATATATATATATATATATATTAATTTTTATTGATTTCAGAGAGGGAGAGAGAGGGGGAGAGAAATAGAAATGTCAGTGATGAGAGAGAATCATTGATTGTCTGCCTCCTGCATGCCCCCTACTGGAGATCGAGTCCACAACCCCGTCATGTGCCCTTGACCGGAATCAAACCCGGGACCCTTCAATCCACAGTCCAAAGCTCCACCCACTGAGCCAAACCAGCCAGGGCAAGGATTCTTTTTCTTAACCCTAATGTTCAGTCAGTCACCAAGTACTGTCAATTTTATCTTTTAAATAACCCTTCATTTCTATTACTACCATATTTCAGACATACTCTCATCATAACTCATATTATTGTAACAACCTCTAAAACTGATCACCTTGCTTTCTCTTTTCAATCTGTTTATTGCCACCAGAATTCTTATTTGAAAATTCCAATCTGATCATGTGATTCCCCTGCATAAAATCATTCACTGATTGACATTCAGAGAATAAAATCCAAATCCCTAAATGTACTCTGGCTTTTGGTTCTCTTTCTAAGCAAGGGAAAGGCACCCCATTCCCATCCGGGCTATTTTGGTGATTCTTAAAATCTTCTCTTCCAGCCTTAACTGGTTTGGCTCAGTGGCTAGAGCGTTGGCCTGCGGACTGAAGGGTCCCGGGTTCAATTCCGTTCAAGGGCATGTACCTAGGTTGCAGGCATATCCCCAGTAGGAGGTGTGCAGGAGGCAGCTGATCAATGTTTCTCTCTCATCGATGTTTCTAACTCTCTATCTCTCTCCCTCCCTCTCTGTAAAATCAATAAAATATATATTTTTAAAAATCTTCTCTTCCACTGAGGCTCTATCTTCTATACTGGTACACCTTTGGACACACTGTTTCCTTTTCTTAGATTGCCTACCTGTTCCCCTTCTCCCTCCCTCTCCACCTTTTTGCTTCATTAACTCCTATTTTCCTTCGTGTTGTTTGCCTACCTGTTCTGTAAAATCCTTGAAAGTAGCAGTTGTGATACCATCACGGTATCACTATAAATCATTGTTTTTAAGAAAGCACCTGAAAGAATCGACACTATTATATTCGAGACACTTGGTAAGAACTTAACACAACAGCCCACTGAGGTAGAACCGTTGTTATTAGCTCCATTTTATGCAGTGGGAGGTTTAAGAAATTTAATAACATTTACAAGGTTTTCATTGTTAAGATTTAGTTTGGTAAGATTCAAAGGCTTCCTCCCTTGAATCCGTAATGCACTAAGACCCACTGTGTTACCCTTTTCTGAAGATTTGTTTGCAGTCTAACACGGAGTAAGTCTATAGTATATATTAAAAAAAGGATATCTAATTTTAGTGTAAAGGCCGCTGAAGTGAGCACACAAAAATGGATATCTAATTGAGGCAATTTAGAAATAACTAAAGTGATTGAGGAAGGTTTTTCATTGACGGAAGTTCTCTTCATGTGTCTGAAACAAAGACACAGTGCTAGGTATTCTATTTGTAAGCACATTTTAGTGAACTTTTGTTTCCACAATTTGAATAAGGGGGGGTAAGGTATATATTTTTTAGAGAGCTTTATTGACATATATTAAATTGCACTTGTTTAAAGTATGCATTCTGGTGTTTGTTTGTTTTTAAAATAATTCTTTATTGTAAGTATTACATATGTCCCCTTTTTTCGTTCTGGTAAGTTTTGACATATGTACAGCCTTGAAATCATTGCTTACAATCATGATAATTAGCATGCCCCTTTCCCCCCAGTTTCCCCATCCACTCCAACCCCCAATCTGCGGTCTGACATTATAGATTATTTTACATATTTTAGAGTTTTATATCTATGGAATCGTACAGCATGTGCTCTTTAAGCCTGGCTTTCGCTCAGTATAATTATTTTGAGATTCATCTGTTGTGTTTATCAGTAGTTCATTCTAAAGTTGCATATTTCGAATTGTATTTGTTATAGAAATAATTATTTTCTTTTCCTTCATGGCATCTTATACCTTAGAAAGGTTTAGATCAGCCGTGGGTAAACTACCGGCCCGCGCCCGTTTGAAATGAATAAAACTATTGAAATAAAAGACCGTACCCTTTTATGTAATGATGTTTACTTTGAATTTATATTAGTTCACACAAACACTCCATCCATGCTTTTGTTCCGGCCCTCCAGTCCAGTTTAAGAACCCATTGTGGCCCTCGAGTCAAAAAGTTTGCCCACCCCTGGTTTAGATGAGACTGATTGAAGATTATTGAAGCCCCTTGTGGAACTTGTTTTGATATACTCTGTAAAAGTCCACTGACTGCAAGGGTTTTAAATGCATTTACATTTCCAATGAGTAGTCTTTTAGTCCACTATTAAGAGTCTGAGGTAAAATCAAGCCGTTCAACTCACTTTTGGAGTATAACATTGAACTTCTGAAGATTTTCTTCTTGACTCTTCTGGGGGAACCTTGGGAGAAACCCTTCTGCTTGGTGTCATGTGAGAAGTGGGTATCCCTAAAGTGGCTATCTCAGAACTTCACATTGGCATTAGCTCTAGATATTAAGTGATAAAGTGCTAACCAATCAATATGATTTGAATGGCGTGTGTTAACTCGATTTGGAGCTCAATTTGAATGGGAGAAAAAGATGTCTTTGCCACCCAATCTTAGATTTTAAACCTTGTTATTTAATTTGGGAGGGAAAATATTTTAGTCTGCTGTTTTTTAAAAAATGAAATGGTTAATAGCCATTATTATTGCTGTTTGAATCTTACGCTCCTTGCCCCTCCCCCTTTTTTTAAAATTTCAGGTGGGTATAACCCATATATAGAGATAATTGAACAACCCAGGCAGCGGGGAATGCGTTTTCGATACAAATGTGAAGGGCGATCAGCGGGCAGCATTCCGGGGGAGCACAGCACAGACAACAACCGAACATACCCGTCTATCCAGGTAATGGACCGTTCTCCTGTGTTTGTGTCTCACTCTTAGTTGCTTCATATTTTAGCTACAGCAATTGCATTAAAGGCCCAGTTTCTTTACAGTCATTTCCATGGGCTTTTCTTCTTCTTTTTAACTAGAGGCCCGGTGCACGAAATTGTGCACACGTAGGGTCCCTAGGCCTGGCCAGCAATCAGGGCCGATCTGTGGGGCGACTGGCGGGGCGATTGCTGGCCCTGCCCTTTGCTGCCTTCCTCTGTGAGGTGACTGGCGGCGGGGGGCGGGGGGTGGGGGGAAGTGCTGCTGGCACCCACCTTGGCTGGCCTGGGGGCAGATCCTGCATTGAGCATCTGCCCCCTGGTGGTCAGTGTGCATCATAGCCGCCAGTCGTTCCACCGGTCATTCTGCCATTTGGTCGATTTGCATATTAGACTTTTATTATATAGGATTGATTTGTACTAAGTAGCTATCTAGGGTCATTTCTTAACTATAGTATGGATTCTTCATCCCTGCTGATAGCTTCGTTTGTGTGTTAATCTAAGTAGAGTGATTCACAGTGCTTAGTGTACATTGGCAGCTTTGGGGTGATGATTCCCCTCATGAAACACAGAGCTAATGAGGAGAAAGCATTCCCTCCTTCCAGCAGTGAGCAAAGTCATTCCGTAGATTAAAGACGTGGATTTGGGAACCCAATCAGAATTCTTTCTACAATCATTTGGCTAAACTAGGGTCTACAGGAAAGGAGAATGAACGTTTTTGCCTCCTTTTTCCTTGCCTTTATTATCTATCCCTGATACTCTGGGTTTCATTGACTTATTTGAAATATAGTCATTTTCTAAATAGTTTTTGATGTTAGCATAAGTTTTAAAAGTAGTTTTTGATCCAAAATGACAGTATATTCTACTTATAAAATATACTATATTTCATTTGATTTTTAATGAATTTTTATCCGTTAAATGCCAATTAAAAATTTGAATGGCAGAGTGGATTTTGAGAAGTGTTATTTAGCCTTTCTTCAACAGATGTTAATTCACTGTTTTATAACTAACTTGTTTACAAAGTTTATTCTATTGAACTTAAGGGGAAGGCTAAATTATAGAATAAAACAATGGCAAAATTATTGAATTGTAAGATCCTAATTTTTGTCACTTTTTGGGCAGCAATATGGATTTGAGTTATCCAAGTCCTTTTGTTTAAATGTTAAAATGAGAGAAATGCTACTAAATGGTAGCATTCCATAATTCAGCTTATTCTGTACGTTCTCTAAAATATTTCTAAGATCCAGTAGGTTCTGAACCCTTTACACCTTGAGTTTTACATCAGCCTATATTACAGTTTTAAGTGGTTACGGTGTCTTTTATTCAGAAAGGCAATAAATACTTCCTGGTTGCTTTTCAAATTAAGTTTAAATTCAGGATTATGGATTTTAGTGTCCTCTTACCTGTAAAGCTACCCATCATTATGTAACTGCTTTGCTCCTTTGTCATATCTGGTTTTCATTTTCCCTGCTTTGTGTTTCCAAACTGAACCTTCTCTTCCTCCCCATGCTCAGAGTACCCTCTTTCCATGTTTAACTCTCCTCTTTATTCTCAGTGTCCTAGATGTACTCACTGTGTGAAAACAATTTTGTGAAACTCAACTTGATTTATTGCCTACTGTACAGCAAGCACTTGGGATAGCTAACTGATGAACAACTGTCTTTGTGAGCTGAAATGTCACATCTTAAATAAAATGGTCCTATGTATTGGTGTGCTATCATATCCAGTATGGCTTAAGTATATACTTTGAAGGGATGTGTATGGTATGACAGTGAATCTAAGAGCATGGCATTCGCTGACTTAATGATTAAGTATTTTCTCATGCACTGTGATAATATTTTGGTATAATTTCACTTGTTTTTAAAAGGAAACTAAGCAGAATCAGATGCTAATGGCCAATTGAAATTAATATGCCAAGGAACTGAGAGGTAAATTCTTCGCTACTGGTATTCTTGGCAGGTTTCATCCAAACTGCAGTTGCCAGCCAACTGGATACAGTACTAGCCACATTATATAAATTGAACCTTCATTTAGTAGAATAGTTCTTCATGAGGAATATTTATGGATCATTTATTTCTTTCTTTTTCAGATTAAGAACTGTTATGGAAAAGGAAAAGTGAGAATTACATTAGTAACAAAGAATGACCCATTTAAACCTCATCCTCATGATTTAGTAGGAAAAGACTGCAGAGATGGCTACTATGAAGCAGAATTTGGACAAGAACGCAGGCCTTTATTGTACGTATATTGAGTTGTCATGCTTATTTAGTCTCCTTTAATTTAGACCAGGTTCCCAGCCTTTTTTCATCTTTCATGATGTTAACATTGTTGAAACGTCTAGGCTGTTTGTTTTGAATATTGTTGTTCAATATGGATTCGTCTGAATGGTTGCTCCTATTTATATCCATGTTCCCATGAATAGCATGAATGATATTTTCATGTTAATATGAAACATTTTGGACAAGGAGTCTACAGAGGCGATGCTGTATTCTTCTCAAAATATCTCTTCAGGAGACGTGATATTAGTTTTTCCCACTTGTGATATTAATTGGCATTCTACTGTAGAGAAAAATTTTCCCATTTTACCCTTCCCCATATAAAAAGAATAACACTATAGACCAGTGATGGCGAACTATGACACGCGTGTCAGAGGTGACATGTGAACTCATTTTTTTGGTTGATTTTTCTTTGTTAAATGGCATTTAAATATTTAAAATAAATATCAAAAATATAAGTCTTTGTTTTACTATGGTTGCAAATATCAAAAGATTTCTATATGTGACACAGCACCAGAGTTAAGTTAGGGTTTTTCAAAATGCTGACATGCCGAGCTCAAAAGGTTCGCCATCACTGCTATAGACCCATGGATTTTTATAGTCAATGTACTGACATTGTTTTGATTTTCAGATTGACCCAGATTGGACTAATTCAGGCCCTTTCAGACTGTTTCCACTGTCCTTTGGACATGGCCCCATATTTCTTTAAGCACTTCTTTACTTCCTGACACAACAAAGTGTTCAAGACTTACTTCTCCTTTTCTTGCCACTGCCCTGAAATCAGCTCTTTTCTCAAGAGCCCTCGTTTTTTCAGTGGGGAATGTACTCAGTCTGATTGTCTTTTTGACATATTCTCTTAAATATCTCAAAAGAACCTCAAATAGAATACGCCCCACACCATGCTCTTATATAATCATTCCGCTGTCCTCTCAAAATTGGTCTCCTAATGTACCTTAAGTCAGAGGTCGCCAGTCGGTGGTCCGTGAGGCCCAAAAGGTTGACGACCGCTGATCTAAGTGGTTGCTGTAAAAGCCCCAAACATAGTTTCATCCTTGGCACCTCTCACACAGGTGCACACGTTGAGTTCACTGATGGGTACTTCCTAAAGAGTTCTTGAATCTGTCTCTCCACTTGTCTCAGTGACCTCCCTCACTTCCCCGCTACCGACGCGGTCGTCTAAATGTGGGCTGCGAAGAAGAGCCTCTGACTGCTCTCCTCCCGTCAGCTCTTGTTGTGTCCTCCGCTTTAGCCAAAGTGATCTTTCTAAAAAAAAATTTAAATAAATAAATGTATTTATTCAGCGTGATCTTTTGAAATACAAATCTGATGGTCACATCTCTGCTTAAAACATGTTGATGGCTTTATGTGACTCTTGGGATTAGGACAACATTCCTCAGAAGCCCACGTGACCTGCGTGTATCTCCAGCCTCTGGTGTGCGGTGTTCTCCTTGACCGCCATGCTGCAGTCGCGAGGCCTTCCTTCAGTTTCCAGGGCGCACACTGCTCTTCCCTAGGCTCTTTGGCATGTTCTTTTCCTTCGGCCTGAAGTCTCTTGACTCTCCTTTTCCCCTCGTTCATTTCTGTTCATAGTAAGTGTCACTTCTGACAAGAAGCCTGTCTGCCTTCCCTGAGTTGACCACTTCTTTCCCCTCATAGGGCTCTCATGGCAGCATGTCCATCTCCTTTATAAAAATTGTCATGGTTTCAGTTTAGCGTTTTTGTGTGTGTGATTCCTTAATGTCCATCTGCTTCACTACACTAAAGGTTAGCAAGTTTCTTCCGTAAAGGGCCTGAGAGTAAATATTTACGGCTCTGCAGGCCGTATGGTCTCTGTGGCAACTTCTCAGCTCTGCTGGGGCAGCATGAAAGCACATCAGCAAATCCGTTGAGTTGTGCTCCGATAAAATTTTGCTTGAAAAAGCAGGCAGGGGGCCAGATTTGGTCCATGGACTGTAGTTGGCCACTCCCTGCACTAGACTGAACTTCGAGAAGGGAAGGATTATAAACCCCCATTTTCCCAGAGTTTTTGGTACATGGTAAGAACCCCAAAACTTGTTGAATGACTATGAAGGAATGAATGTATGATTCAAGTAATCTCTATGATCCTTGGTTTCCTCCTGTCAGAATTTCAGGAATCTCTACCACTTCTAATCTGTGACGAGGCAGTCAAATATGATTCAGATGAAACTAAATCAAGTAGTGTAAAAATATATTAAAGGGGAGGATTCTTTACAATCTTTTGTCAAAGAAAAAGAACCAAGCTAAGAATCTTTCTTTCAAAGAAGCAGAATACTTTTGAGGAAGAGGATTGTGGTTTTGGGGTTTCAAGAAAGGATTATGAATTCAAGACTCATTTTCTTTTTAGTTATTGGAGGCAGAGGAAAGAAATGTCAAGGATAGTTGAGGTGCTGACAACATCACAATGCGGTAAATGTGAAGAGCATGAGCCTGGAGAGGGGCAGGCAGGCAGCCTCCTGTTGCAAGTGCCCTGTGAAATTTGAACAAATAGGAATGTTATTATAATCAGTTTTGCTTCCTTATTCACACCCACCCATCTTGAATGATGTCATGGTTTTTCCATGTGGGAACAAGTATGACTGGTGGTGGTAGGGGAGTTCCCCCAACCATCATCTGTAGTACACATGCAAATTAGTAATATTTGTAGCTATTGAGAAGTTTTCCATAAATGACATTTTGAAACTTTTGTTAAATATTATTGTTAGTATCAAACATCTTTCTAATTAAAGAACACATTTCAGTGCTTTCTTGTGATGATTATTATAACTTCATATAATGTGACATAAAATATGTTCCACCGCTACTAGCAGTGTAGTCAGGGCTCAAATAACAAGTGTCTGTGGAGTGGAGTGTGCCAGGTGTGAGAGGACTCGCAGGCACCATAGCAAACTGGAGAGCCCTCCTTCAGCTTCAGCAAGGTGTTTCTGAACCAGCCTACTGTCGGCAGACCTTTAAAACGGGCAAGAAACCAGAAATCCAGATATTTGTATGCAGTTACCTGATTTTTAAATGTTGGTAGTCTATGAACATTTTTTTTAAATGTAGACAACACTTTTATGAGGTCAGCAAAATATACCTGTGGGCTTCAGCCTGTGGGTATCTTTTATAAATTTTGCTTTACATTATCAAATATACAGATTCTATTGATTTGATAATGAATTTGGTTAGAAGGTGAATTTGAGCTTTTTAAAAAATAAATATTTTTGTTGATTTCAGAGGAAGGGAGAGGGAGAGAGAGATGGAAACATCAATGATAAGAGAGAATCATTGATTGGCTGCCTTCTGCATGTCCCCCACTGGAAATCAAGCCCGCAACTCGGGCATATGCCCTTGATGGGAATCGAACCTGGGAACCTTTAGTCCACAGGTGGACACTCTATCCACTGAGCCAAACCCGCTAGGGCTGAATTTTAGCTTTTTGATGTCACTTCCCTGTTAATCTTTACCTACTTTGGTATATTTGACCTACGCATATTAATATGGTGTAATTGTAAAATACTGTATGCAACAGCTATATGGTATGCATTATTTTTCTTTTAACAGTTCTCTTAGAATTTAACCCCACTTTTTTAGCCTCATACCTTTATTATCTCAGTTGGAAATTTACAACATGCTTTATCATCTCCATCTGACAGTATGGAGACTCTTCTCTGTTGGATGGATGCTTAATACTTAGGATATTCTTTGGTGTTTATGTGTTTAACTATAGTGCATTTTGACAGTTCTGTTTTTTTCTTTCTAGTTTTCAAAATTTGGGTATTCGATGTGTAAAGAAAAAAGAAGTAAAAGAAGCTATTATTTCAAGAATAAGGGCAGGAATCAATCCTTTCAATGGTAAGTATGTTTGATATAATCATTTCTGTTATTTGGATATTGGTTTATTTATGTGTTTTCTATTTGTATTTTAAACCTATGGTTAAAAGCTATCTTAAATTCTGTGTTCACTTTTCTACTTGTTGACTTGTGTCTATGTCTGAATAATGAAGTATATTCAATATCTTTCAGTGTTAAAAAAATTCTTATGCTTTCTTATATCAGTGGAGATTGCCATTTTTCTATAAGAAAACCTCAGAAATGTTCTTTTTCATTCTGGAATGTAAAGCTCTTTTTAATTCAAGTATCATTGACATAGAATATATATTAGTATCAAGTGTACAACATAGTGATTTGTCGTTTATATACCTTATAAATGCAAGAAGTCTAGTAACCATCTGTCACTGTACAAAGTTATTGAGATATTGCCCTGACTGGTTTGGCTCAGTGGATAGAGCATCAGCCTGTGGACTCAAGGGTCCCAGGTTCGATACCTGTCAGGGGCATGTACCATGGTTGCGGACACATCCCCAGTAGGGGGCGTGCAGGAGGCAGCTGATCGATGTTTCTCACGGATGTTTCTGACTATCCCTCTTCCCTCCTCTCTATGGAAAAATCAATAAAATATATATTAAAAAAAAAGTTATTGAGATATTATTGACTGTATTCACTGTGCTGTACTTTATATTCCCATGGCTCACTTATATTATAACTATAAGTTAGTGCCACTTAAGCACCTTCACCTTTTTGCCTATCCCCCCACCTCCCCACCTTCTGGCAGTTTGTTCTTTGTATCTATGAGTCTGTTTTGTTTGTTCATTTATTTAGTTTTTTTCATTCCACAGATAAGTGTAATGATGTAGTTTTGTCTTTCTCTGACTTATTTTACTAAGCATAATACCCTCTAGGTCCACCTATGTTGTTACAAATAGCAAGATTTCATTCTTTATTACCGCTGAGTAATATTCCATTGTATATGTATACTACATCTTCATTATCTGTTCATCTGTTGATGGACACCTAGCCTGCTTCCATTATTGTATATAATGCTGCAATAAACATAGGACTGCATATATCTTTTTGAATTAGTGTTTTCAATTTTCTTTGGATAAATTCCCAGACGTGGAATTATTGGGCCCTTCTTTGTCTCTTGTTATAACTTTTGTTTTAAAGTCTATTTTGTCTGGTATAAGCATTGCTACCCTAGCTTTTTTTTGATTGTTTCCATTTTCATGAAATATCTTTTTCCATCCCTTTACTTTCAGTCTGTGTGTCTTTTGATCTAAAGTGACTCTCTTGGGTCTAGTTTTTTTATTCATTTAGATACCTTGTGTCTTTTAAATGGAACGCTTAGTCCATTACATTTAGGTATATAGGTATTGCCATTTTAATTGTTTGCATACTAGCTTTATAAGTGGTTATATCTTTACTATATGTTTGCCTTTACTAATGAGATTTTTTTTTTTTTTCAGTTTCTTATTTCTAGTTTTGGCCTTTTCTTTTTCACTTAAAGAATTCATTTTGCCCTAACTGGTTTAGCTCAGTGGATAGAGCATTGGCCTGTGGACTGAAGGGTCCTGGGTTTGATTCTGGTCAAGGGCACATGCCCGGGTTGCGGGCTCGATCCCCAGTAGGGGGCGTGCAGGAGGCAGCCAATAAATGATTCTCCCTCATCACTGATGTTTCTATCTCTCTCTCCCTCTCTGAAATCAATAAACATATATCTAAAAAATAATAATAATAATTCCTTTTAGCCCTATAGCCCGTTTGGCTCAGTGGTTAGAGTGTTGGCCCTCAGACTGAACGGTCTCAGGTTTGATTCTGGTCAAGGGCACATACCTCAGTTGCAGGCTCGATCCCCAACCTGGTCAGGGCACATGTGGGAGGCAACCAACCGATGTGTCTCTCCCCCTCCCTTTCACTCTCTCTCTCAAAATCAATGGAAAAAATAGCCTTGGGTGAGAATTAATAACAACAAACATTTTTTTAAAAAAGAATTCTCTTTAACATTTCTTGTAATGCTGGTTTAGTGGTGATAAACTCCTTTAGCTTTTGCTTTTTGGGAACCTCTTTACCTCTTTCAATTCTGAAAGATAATCTTGCTGGGTATTCTGGTTGTAGGTTTTCCCCTTTTGTCAACTATATTCCCTTGAATATATCTTGCCAATCCCTTTGGCCTGCAAAGTGTTAAAAAATAGCTCATAGTCTTATGGGCATTCCCTCATATGTATCTAGTTGTTTTTCTCTTTCTGCTTCTACGATTTTTTTCTTTAACTTTTAACATTTCAAAAATGATGTGTCTTGATGTGGGTCTCTTTGGGTTCATTTTGTGTGGGGGCTCTTTATGCTTCCTGAGTTTGGATATCTGTTTCCTTTGCTGAGTTAGGGAAGTTTTCACCAATTATTCCTTCAAATAGGTTTATTGTCCTTTCCCCTCTCTCTCTCTTCTCCTTCTGGGACTGCTGTGACATGAGTGTTAGTACACTTGATGTTGTCCCTTAGGTCCCTCATTATTTTAAATTCTTTTTTCATTTTCATCTTCCAGTTGGGTGATTTCCATTATCCTTTATTCCTTATCGCTGATCAATTCTTCTGAATTATCTGATCTGCTGTTGATTTCCTCTAATGTATTTTTGCATTGCAGTTGTTACATTCTTCAGTTCTGATAGGTTCTTTTTATTTTTTTAATAATTTTTATCTCAAGTTCTCACCGAGTCTATCCACTTGTCTAAAGAGTTTGAGGAGCCTCTTTATGACTATTACTTTGAACTCTTTTCTAGGAGACAGCTTGCCTTCGTTTTGCTTAGTTATTTTTCTGAGGCTTTTCTTGTTTTATTGTTTGGAACATATTCTTTTGTCTCTTCACTTTGCCTGTTTGTTTCTATGTGTTAGGTAGATCAGCTACATCTCCTAGTCTTGAAAAAGTGGCCTTACTTAGAGGGTGTCCTGTGGGGCCCAGAGGTAGAATTCTCCCTTGTCACCAGAGTCAGGTACTTCAGAGGTGTTCCCTGTATGAAATAGTGTGGCCTCCTGTTGTGGTTGGGCCACAGCTGCTAAGGACACACTGGTAGGCGAGGCTGGTTCCTGGCTAGGGTGGCTATGTAGCTTTGCCACAACTGTTACGGGCACACTGGTGTTCAGTACAGACTGTCAGTGTAGCTGCCTGCAAGGCCCAGTCTCAACTGTTGCAGACACACTGCTGTGTACTGGTGCTGACTAAGGCCGCCTGCCAGGTGTAGCAGGGAAGGAGTTGCTTTGGAGGGGTGCCAGCTTGGGTGGGTCATCAGGGAAATGCCATGGTGGGGTGAATAGTATTAGCATGCCCTGGCCAGTGTTGGTCAGTTGGTTGGGTGGTGGTTGTCCTGAGCACCGAATGGTTGCTGTTTGATTCCTAGTCAGGGCACATGCCCAGGTTGCAGGCTCTATCCCCAGTGGAGTGTGCAGGAGGCAGCCGATTGATAGTTTGCTCTCACATCAATGTTTCTCACCCTCTCCCTCTCTCTCTAAAAATCAATAAAAATATTTTTTTGAAAAATATTGTTAGCAAGGTTAATGAAGAGTGTCAGAAACGGTACTTGCTAGTGTCAGAGCAGCTAGGTAGGAGAATAAAGAAAGAGACAGTTGGCGCCCACTAGCACTTCTGACTCAAGAGAAAATTCCAGCAGATACCTGTCCCTCCAACACACACCCTAAAAGTAGTCACTGTATCACTTTCATACATGGCCCAGGTGCTTTTCAAACTGCTGCCTCTGCACTGGGGCTCAGAGCACAAGCTTGGTTTCCTCTCAGCCCTTCGGCTCTCCCAGATGTAAGCCCTGTTGGTTTTCAAAGACAGATGTTATGAGGGCTCCTCTTCCTCTTGCAGGTTCCCAGGTTGGGGCGCAGACCCCTCACTCTTTACGGGGCGGGGGACTTCTGCCATTGTGATATTCCTCTCACTTGTGGGCAACTGCGTGGGGAGTGGTAATAGGGTAGGCCCTAACTGAGTCTCTACCCCTCCTACTTCTCCATTGGGCTTTTTCGTTAGATCCGTAACTGTGGGAAATGTGTTCTGCTAGTCTTAGGTCATTCTCAGAGATACGTCTTCTTTATGTAGTAGTTGTAGTTTTGGTGTCAGTGAGGAGAAGTGAGCTCAGATCTTCCTACTCCACCATCTTTAACTCAGAGCAAGAGCCTTGCTCTTGAATGCCGTGTAGTTTGTCTGTGAAATGTTATTCCTTACAGTCAGTGCACTGTCCATGCAACAAACGTGTCTCTGGATCCTCTCAGAAATGTTCTGTTTCTTTTTGAATGTGGGTGGCCGTTCTTTTGCCACTTTAGCAGACAGTATGCGCTCTTCTTTCTGAATGTTGAATAGGCATTATGTCAAGGTATTGGAGTGCATTTAACTCAAAAGCATATTGAACAGCGAAACTTTAAGCCCAATGTGGAAGTTTAGAAATAGTAGAAACTATACAAAATATTTTCGCAGCATATTTCTGTATATGGCTAGATATTTACTGTTTAGTGGATTTTAATCACTGTATGTTGTTTCACTAGATAAATGATACCACGCTAAATGCTAGCATTCTACACCACAGTAGTCTCCTTATAAAGTCTTCATCAGCTACTTAAATATGCATAATTAATGAATTGAACATCTATAACATTTTCAAAGCATAGATTTCTTTGTCATATTTAAGACATCCTTATTTTGTTGGTTTGTGTTTTTCCTGGATGAAAAAAAATTTAAGGGGATATGATGAAAATTTAAGGAATATTCTTGTAGACACATATTATATGTTTATAAGCCATAAGGTTTGTATCTCTTTTCTCTAGGTCTTTGTTTTTCCTGCTATTTAGTATAATGTGGAAAGCAAAAGTCCTCTTCTTCCCTGTCACTCTTAACTCTCCAGAGGAAATCACTATTAAGTTTGCTGTATATTTTTCTAGAATTTACTTTATACTTGTGTAGACATATATACACATAGTATTTTTTAAATAAATGGAATCATACTAATTGCCTGTTCTACTGCTTCTTT